CATCCTTATCTTACAAAAGGATTTGCGTCACCTATACACCAACTATCAGGAGTAAGTCTACTTCTAATTGCGTCCAGTCAGTCAGTCAGTAACAACGTAGAACTTCGTAAGAACGTACCTCAGTTCGAGTTGCCATACCATATTAGCACAGAGATGCAGTTGTTGATTAAAATCCCATAGTGGTAGACGTATTAAGAGTATAAACAGTAATCGGAAACATTAGGGTATGAAGATGTTATTCAAGGAGTATAATCCAGTGAAATAAATTTGGAAAGAGGAAAAAAGGGACACAAAGAATTCAGAAGATTAGGATCTACGAGAACACAAAGAGTTGATGTACCGGCGCCATTCCAAACGAATTTGAGCTATGTCATTTAAGGTCTCTAACCATCGGTTGCTATCATCTCACGGATCCCAACCAGGTAGTCCACACCTATCAATCACGTACAAACTATTGGCTTCCCACATACTTCGGAAGTTGTTCAAAACCCGAGAAAGATTGACTCACAAAACAGGATTTCCCCCTCCTTCACAGCCCTCCGGTTTTAGTCCCATAGATAGTGCAAGATAGCGGTTTGAGAGGATGTCAGACATGTATCGGAATAGGAACCAGTGGTGATCCTGCTGTGATTTTCACGAACTGATGTGGTTAGGACATGCATAGCATCAGTCAATGATTACATTGATTAGTAGATGCAGGCAATCTAGTTAGGGTCTGAGAGGCGATATGGCTTGAATTCAGTCCCATTAGCGCACATCCATTCACTATCTATCTTGAATAATAATATTCCTTTAAATATACCTTCCCACTATATTTTCGAAACATATTCCAAATATCATTCTCCTTCATTATCACTGATATTACATCATTCACCTAGTGCGTATTCGGTATAGTAACTTAAGGTCAATGAACATGTCCAGAGCCCTACGATGACCAAACTCGCTCGATCTTAGCAGCGTTGCTGGCATAACTACACGCATTCAAGTCTGCTACACCTTGTAATTTACAGAAGTTAATTAAGTGCAAGCTTCGTGGTGTCCTTTGCACTCATCACACTATATAGCGATTTCCACAGGGCAACGATAATCCGGGCGTTGATAATTGCTTTTTTACACTGTTCAGTCATCACTCAAGATTTTTCAGACAAGTTGGAAATGAAAATATGCATAAACAAAAACTTACGATACAAAAGTTGGGTTTAAAAAAAAAGAAAAATACTGTGAACCGTTGAGTGTAAAAGTCCAGCAGCCAGACAAACTGTCGTACTCAAAGAGAGTAATAGTGCAGGAAAATCCTTGTGAAGAACGATACAATTTTAAATACTTTGACTGCAATTAATTCAATTAAAGTGAAAACAGTAGTCTTGATGCTCGACCGTTGTTACTACCTTGATGTGGTGGTAGGACTTGCCTATCGTGACGAAGCAACCGAGTTATACTGGCTGGAACAACCGTTCCTCAAGGTCCTACCATGCCAGACAGGTCGGTTGAAGAACGATAAGACTAAAAGCAACAAACCCAAGGTTCGTAGGCGAAGTTGTCCTGGTGACTGTACAGAGCTGTGACAACAGTAAGATGTTTCCTTCAAACAACCAGCATGACAGCAATGCTGCCTTCCCACAAGGAGTAGTGGGGCTAGAAAAGGTCGACCCTAAAAATGCACACCTTGCCTTATCCCACGGATATCCATCTCCGGTGGTAAGGTCTCAACAAGTATGGAAATATATATAAGCAGCTGTGGAAACAGCAGTGACATCTATTAGTGATTTAAACCAAAGGGTTACGAAAAACCAATGAATTTTTACTAAGTCTATTGCACGGATGGATTCTCATAGACTAATTCCACCAGGCTTTGAACATGATGAAGAGCGCAAACAAATCAGATCTAGGTTCACCAAAAGTCTAAGGAACGACTGTGAGCAGTGGTGGGCAACGAAAGCAAAAGAGATGGAAAAGGCGGCGGCTATAGGGAACACAAGACAGCCTTACAGACTAATAAAACAAACTAGAATTAATAAGTCAAATGTAAGTCAGACTATTTCGAAAAAAGACGACACCCTCATCTGCTCTCAGTCCAGACGTTTAGAACGACGGGCGGAACATTTCAGAGAACAGTTCAGCTGGCCTTCAGCTACTCTACAACTACCCTCCATTCCCAGACAGTGTGAACGGAACATTGAAGTAGATCCCCCAAATCTAGCAGAAGTTCAAAAGGCTATAGTTAATCTGAAACAAAGAAGAGCAGCTGGTACAGATGGATTGGCTCCAGAGGTCTTTAAGGATGGTGGTCCAATTTTAGCGATAAGGCTAACCAATATATTAGCTAAGATTTGGGAGCTGGACGTTATCCCATCCGACTGGTCACAATCACTTATCGTCCCAATATATAAGAAAGGGTCAAAATCATCCTGTGACAACCACAGAGGGATTAGTTTAACTAATATAATATCTAAAATACTAGCCTCGATAATTATCAGACGCCTAACTAAGACTCGTGAACTGCAAACACGAGAGAACCAAGCTGGCTTCAAACTTGGTCGTGGCTGCATCGACCACATATTCACCATTCGTCAGGTTCTAGAACATAGGCATACTTATCGGCGTCCGACAATGGTGGTCTTTCTTGACTTAAAAGCAGCATTTGACTCAGTAGACCGCGAGATTCTGTGGCAGTGTCTGTCATTGAAAGGCGTACCCTAGAAGTACATAAACCTTATAAAGGCTCTTTACTCGAACACTACTAGTCGAGTCAGAGCTTATGGCGAACTGTCATCTACTTTTGCAACCTCAAGTGGTGTCTGTCAAGGCTGTCCACTTTCTCCATTTTTGTTTAACTTCATCATAGACCTATTGATGGAAACAACACTCTCGTCGACTGAATTCTCGGGTATTGATCTCCTTCCAGTAGGTCCACTTGTCGACTTAGAATACGCAGATGACATAGTCCTGTTTGGTTCTAGAAACAAGTGAGGTCACACTTATGTAGTTCTGAAAACGAAGGCGAGATATCCGCCTATTTATTAAGGGACGAGTATACTGTGCAGCAGTTAGTTCTGTTTTACTTTACGGCTGCAAAACATGGCCATTAAGATTCGAAGATACTTGTAAGCTACTAGTATTTGACGACAGATGCCTCAAAAATATTGCTCGCATCTGCTGGTATCATCGGGTAAGTAACAGTGAAGTTTTATTTTATTTTAACACAAAGATATTGGTACAAGGAGGCACCAAATATATATGCGCCACACAAATCTCATTAGATATGTGTGAGGGCTGTGATACTGTCCGGGTACCCAAACCGAAGTAGGTGGTTCTCTTAGGGGGCCACACCCAGAGCCTTCGATCTGAAGGTCTGATCCACGAGGCAGTGGAGCATCGTAAGGAGATGCAGTCCCATGGTAGCCGGTGACCAATAATTGGTTCATACGCCATTTGTTCCCGCAGGATACTGGAGCCCATGTACACCATTCGTTTGGAATCAGGGTTTTCCGACTCTCCTAGGTGGACTCTCCATGTCCACCAACGCGGTTAAAGCATTGGACAACCGCTTTTCGTCCTCTCAATTTCGTAAACAGTAATGACACGAGAAGGCAGTAAGACTTCCCTGGCAGAGGCTATATACGGGTGGCCATGTGAGAGCATTTCGAGAGGGTTAGATACAGGGTATTAGGGAATGATGGTAAAACAGTTGATGAGGTTGTGAATCTTCATCGACTGAGATGGTTGGGCCACGTGTTACATATGCCTGAACACCGATTACCACGACGCGCAATGGTTGGAAGAAAGTTAGGGGCGGCCAAACCAAAACGTGGCATTAGTGTCTGAAGTCACTAACTTCTAATCTGATCCATGTTGGCATATGCAGACTACTTGGTTAGGGTCCGCATGACTATCATAAACAATGGTTGGGACTCTGGGTGCCATATTTCCGAATCGATTACTTAAGCCATGAGATTAAAATTGCTTTATATCTTTCTTTCTATGTACTAAGTCTTCCTTCCTGTACTATATCCTTATATGCAATCTTTCTTTTTGTATATTACTTTCATTGAAGTAACGACTATGAATTCGGTGTTCATCTTGTTTTACTAATGAGTTGTTGCAACTTGGACCGATGCATATGTGCCTGGTCCTACGTTATAGCTGACTGACTGACCTATGTATAAGTCGACTATGAATCGGCATTAGTTTTTATTATTTATCTATTTGAACACATAAACATTGGTACAAGAGGGCACCAAATATATATGCGCCACACATTTGGAGTAGAAATATCGAATTTTAATTATATCCGCCAAGACACTTTTGAGAGAGATAAAAGTTAACTAGTTACATAACTTGCGGGCAAAATATCGTAGACAATATCTAGTAGCACTTTATTTAACGCTTGATTTTTAATGCAAGTTCGATTAACAGAAGCTTAGTAGTACCAAGTGATTTTAAAACAACTATATACAACCTTCAGACAATTTTCAGTATTCATCATAGGCTAAACAAACCTGAGGGGAAAAGGCTTTTTAGCTTATCCCGATACCAAATACTCTAAACGTAATATTAAGAGCTAAATAAAAGTCATGGGAGACAAAAGTGTTAAAGTCGTTGAAATGTGAAGAGATATCATCCAGATAACCAGCTTACACAACAAGTCTAGGTATTTAATCCCATTTTGACGAGAACTGGAAATGCTATCTAGGTGGAGATACACTAATAATTATTAATTAATTAGTTAAATTTAATATATTGAAGTCTTAAGTACGACCACAAAACCCAGACCTTCAACGCTAAAAATATTTATTATCGTCCACAGAGCTGCAAAGCGTTATCTGGGTAGTTTCGCACATATAATACATAAATATTATATATATAAATATCAGCGGGAGTAAATTGAAGGGTGGCTATTATTAAGTGATAGCCATGAGACCTTAATATCTATAAACTGGAAAGCATTCTACAGTTGAGCACATAAAACAAAGACGTTAACAGAAGTATACAAAACCTACCTTCATGCTTGCTAGACATCAGACGTAGAATAAACAAATATACAACCGAAAACCACAGACACCAGACGACCTTGAAAAGCCAAACCTTTAAATGGGTCAATTGGTTGTGGACGGAATAGAAGCTTTCGCTTAACAGGCGTCCGTGTCTAGTAGCAGGGGATCACTAATACCTCCAGGTAGGAGCCTAGGTATATTAGCTATAATAGGTTAGAAAAGAAAAAGAAATTGGTAACTCATAATAAGATGTCCTGAATCCTTACGAATAGGTCAAGTTTCCTTTTGGAAGACTCCCGGGAAGTCATTTGAACTAGCTCAGCCGGCAGCAAATTCCAGAAGTTGACAACTCTTAAAAAGTAGAAGTCATGTCTACAAGCCGTTTTGCTGAGTTGTATTTCCAGTTTCTGGGTGTTACTCCCAAACGTTTGCATTGGAGTTAAACTTAAGTAGGTGTTTCAGGGGATGTCCAGAAGTGTTAAGGATACTGTTAGCAATTAAAAGGCCAGCTCTATGACTCCTGTAGCTCAACAGGTAGAGACTTAGTGATTAGAGGCGCTCTTCATAGGGCTTGAATTTGAGTTCCCGAACTGATTTCGTGGCTCGCCGTTGGGTACATTTCAGAGTGTCCTTATCATTCTGGAGTGAGGGAGAAATTACTATGTTTCTGGATTGTAAATGGGGACGAATGGAATCGTTGAAGACTATGTGAAAAGTTCTACCGTCGAACTGGCCAAAATGAGCTTCAATGTTACCAGTGCAAGGTTTGCTCGAAAGGTATTTTTGTCACAGTTAATGTAAGACTTCAAATCGTAGGGCAACAGCCTTCAAAATCTTTTTCAACTCGTGATACTTCTAAATTGGAGTTGTCTAAGTTGTAGCTGTAGTCTGCAACATGTCTCAGATGGGCTTCTTTACAATTTGAGGTGTAGGTCCGTTGTCATCTGCCCAAGTTTTAAGTCGAATCAGATCCTCTTGAAGCGCCAGTATATTCTCTTGGTTGCGTATCTCTCTCCAAAGTTTCACATCATCAGCGAAATGTAATACGTTTGATGGTACTTGTGGCGGAAGATTGTGAAGGAAATTCAAACTTGAAATTCTGAAATCTACAGATTTGCATCAGTAAATAAATTGCCAATATAAATAGTTCAGTGAGCCTTTGACACTGATTCCGATCTCGTTAATTTTACCGGACACACTAGCTGAAGGCGCTCATTCATGCATCTATGCTAGATCATGAGTGGGTATACTGTGCTATGCATCCCTTGAGACTACTGGCCAGCTCAGATCATACGTTTTTCAACACATCGAAAACTTTTCAAACACATTTTCGAACTCCTTCATTCCTAACTTTTAATTTGGCCTGGTTGGTTTCCTTCGATCATAAATATGGTACAAATTAAGGTGTTGTCAAACTCTGAATTGCTGTGGCATTTTTAGTGGTGAGTCCGAGGTAATCTGCTACACCATACAACAAACTGTGACCTCGTTCCTTGTTGCGTCATTGTATATCAATTCATTTTTACACAGTGATATTACCATTGTATCCTCGGATTTTTTTATTTGTACATCTTACCTTTATAATTGATGGAACAGACACCTAAATAGATTAAAATTCATCGCAGTAATGAAGGCACTACTGCGCGATCTAAAAAGGTACGTCGCACCTAGTATGTTTATTAGTAGCATTTATAGACCTCATGACACTTTAAAGAAGGCTGCTTTTGAACGTGGAGACCTAATTAACAAACAAAGGTTAGACCGGCATTTCCACAACATCGAGTTGTGACACAACTGATCAACAGAAGTGTTACTACGTATGCGAAAGATCGTTGGTCAACAGCCTTTTTAGACAGCCCTACTTATTGAAGTTTCCCCAACAGGAGTAAGTGGTTCTTGTCCGAACGCCGTAAACAAATTCGCTGCATCTACTGACCGGATTCTGAAGGCTAGCAGCACCACCAGCACTGTGGTTTATTCTGTCAAAGAAACTCAGGCAACAAACAATTACATTGCTGATTTCCGCCACACTTTCCCGCAAGCAAGTAATAACGGCAACCATAGCGGCAGATATAGCCGCCCGTTGCACGTCACTGACGTGGTGACGACAGTTCGCTATCTCGTCGACACTGCAGCAGTAAGTGTTCTCCACGTGAATTCCAATGACTGTCTGCACGAACCGTTTTTCAACTAACAGGCGCCAAATGGGAAATCGATCGCCACATATGGCAAGCGATATGTCTGTCTTAACGTGAGTTTGTAGTGGCATTGGACAATAGCCACACAATCCACAAAGCTGTGAACACGAGACTACTCAGAAAATAAATATTCAATATTTAACACCGAGAAATACCTAAAAATGGAGAAGGCGCGAACAATGAATTGAATGGACTGGAGTTGATCGAGTGGCATGGCTCGGCCATGCAGGCGTGGTCTCTATTCATATTAAATATATTGTTCCTTCTCTAAACTAAGCTGGTTCTTCATCATGTATTGGTAATTGATACGATACAGTGAGTTGGCGTAGTCGATGGTGTGACTTCCACGTAAGATCTTAAAGATTAGGCAGTTATATCATGACGAATCTACAAATTTAGGATTAGGTCTATTATTAGAGCAGTACTAATATCATAGTAGACCATAGTTCTACATTGGTAAGCCCGACTAGAAAAATGCAACCTATTATTATTAATCCTTATTTCCACTTCAACTTTCTCGATCGATTTTATATTTATGTTAACACTGTATTCTAATAGTCCTCTGATTAATGCTCACATGCATCATCGTAATGTTATATTGATTAGTCCTCATGACAAACTAGCCCAATCGATAATAAAAACTGGTCGTCTATATTAACTAATTAGCTTTGATGATTTGTTAACAAGCTGTAATAGCATTTACATGCTTCAGCGACATAGTCTTGTTTAAACATCAAGCTCTAGCAAATATGACCTGTAAATAGCGTAAATATACATTGACTAACAATGCGATCAAGGACTAAATAGTTATCTGGATCTAATATTCAGTGTTCCTTATCTTATTACCTCATCCTGTTTTAAACTATACACTATCCTGTAATATCTTTTCTTCCGACCACTGCCTGCCTAATTTCATATTCTCGAGTTCGATTGCCAAACAACAAGGATGACACTTCTCCAGAAACATACGGTGAGTTCCAGCTATAAGTTTTCTGCAATCATAAGTTCATTTTAGATTACTCATTCAATGGCACACACAGTTATCTGGATTCATTCGGTTGTTCTGATCCGAGCGAGTGGCAAAAACGTCAACAGCATCAAGCACCATAGAATTATTTGCCATACTGCATGTTTTATTCTGGATACTCTTGGATCATTACTAATCACGAATGGCGTTATATATGTCGTCCACTGAATAATCTAATTTTCAAAAATAATCCAGGCGAGTTCAACTATTTTACTGGATGATTTTTTTTGTACTTAACACGTATATATTTTCCAGTTGCTTTTGACACATATTTGTAAGTGTCCCTAGGCTAAATGCAGTAACTTCGTACGTAATGTTTATAACGCGTCATATTCCTGCCTGAAGTTTCATAAGCAGTCTTAGCTTTAAAATTATTTCTCTGGTGATGTTCATTATTTTTAAATTTTTATATACGTCAACAACCTGCATGTTAACCTGGCCCGTACATACGTTTTACTATATCTTCATATCTTTTGAATTTAGAAATCATCTGAATCGCCTTTAACATTTATCAATAAACCCATCATAGTCGTTGTTGCTAATCGTATTTGGGTTTATGGATTGGTTTATCATATTAGCAGCCTAAAATGCGAACATAGCTTAGATAATAAGATTAAAAATTTAGGTACTATCAACTGCACTAGTAAAATAACTAAATCCCCAGGTAGCTGTTGGCTAAACAAATGTTTAAAATCAAAACTCCGTAGCCTACTAGAATTAACACTAAACGAATATTTCTAAATTGAAATTTATAATTAAATTAGGCGTCTCGGATTCTTTAACGTTATAAATTTCTGATGATTTTGAATCACCTAAAGCAACAATACCTATTTTTCCACTGACTAATCCTCATTCAACACTATAACTAGTTAAATTTAATAGTTTCAGGATATCATCATAAAGCATTGTCATAACTTGACAATCACGTAATATGACTGATAAAATTAATGAAACTATTAACGAAATCGGTCAACAAATTGACTTATAATTACCATTAAATGGTGTTGTTTTCTTGGTATCTTCATCCATCACAGATGATTACAGTATGTTTCTCTATCAGTTGCTCATTCAGTAAATATCTCAAAACCTTCTCAGTCTAATTGATGGTTTAGCGACACAATCATGCATGCAAATAATCAGTATAAGCAGTCGAGCAAATCTCCTGCAAACTGAAAACATCAATGTCGAATTTACCCCAACACTGACTAAGGTTCAAGCCATTATCATAGACATGAGTTGGGAGTGTACTCCCCCTGGTTACAACTTATGTTCTCCCTGATAATCACATGAGCATCACTCACTATTAATCATCTTGTAAAAACTTATTTAGCTAAATACATTTTGCAGCACCACATCACTTCGTAATATGACACAGGTCTAACTGATTTTAATAACTTGTAACCACTATATCTCAATTAAATCGTATTCCGCCTTATGATAAACTGCATACTTGCAACTAACTTGTATGTCCAATCAGCCGGCAAGTATAAATACAAATAAATAGTCTGCCACAGATCAGAACATTGAGTCTTGAGCACGTCTCTTACGAATACACTCATGTTTAACGATTTGTTCCTAGCTATCTGTCCAAAATTCATATAATCATCACTCACGTATTTAAATTTTATTTTGATAACCATTCATGTGTATTAGTAGTATTACCAAATTCTATCACGGTCAAGTAAAAATGAGGTTGAGAAAATCTCCCCGTAACTAAATAAACCGTATCAAACTAACTGGAACACTAGTTGGAATTCTTTACCATGGTAATACTTTTGTTCCTTCAGTTAGACTACTGATACAGATGCAATTGGAAATCATCTCTTATGGACAACTTACCGGCATAATCGTTATCCGATTTCATAATTTAA